TTTGTTGGTTCAAGTAGTTATCAAAGGGTAAATTATTACTGGGCTGCTAATTGCCTTCCTAGTTAGCGGAGTCGTAATAGAGATATGATGGATGTGAGGTATAAATCATGATATTTAGGTACTAATTAATTGCATTACATTTTATTACAGAAACAGAGGGGAGCCAATTTAGAATACCAATTGAGACGGGGATATATAAATAAATAGTAGTTTTTAATAGTTGTGTAAAGAAAGTGGTTATTATTTTAAAATCTAATACACTTTCTGATCGGAGCGTGGGAACGGAACTTTCACCAGTGCAATCGAACCTTAGATAATAATTTACATAAGTAATTTACCAAAAAACTTTGAATCTGTGACCAAGTGAAGGACCGAAATAATGTCGTTTTGTCAGTACCATCAAGTTTTTCTCATCCATTAAAAAAAACTAAAAGGAAAGTACGTCAAGACTGGAAGATTCGTCTCTCCAACCAAGTCTGGATATCTCATTCTTGACCCTGCTTCGAGGTAATGACCGTTTAATTTGACACCTAAAAAACATTTTATAAATACTAATTTTAGCCTTAAACAATCTCATAATAACCGACTGACTAAATATGATCAAGAGAATGGTGTCGATGATGATGATGACGTCGTCCTCGTGGTCGTGGTAGTTTTTGGCGTTGGTTTTTTTCGTCGGCATTGGCATCACAATTTTAATAGCAATTTGAACCGTTTTATTCCTCTCATAAAATTCCAAACATCAGACGGCCTTGTGCCCGAATTGCCATTAACTTTTTTTACTTTTAAATAAGCCATTGGATTGGATATCACTTTAAATCTCTTTGACTCTACACACTCCCACAAATTCTGAGAATCATTTACCAATGTCATCATCTAACCAACAAGCCAACATTTTTCTTTATTATTCGTGCTTGTTCCATTATAGCTACAAATTTTTTGTACACCTTTCTTCCCAATGTGCACCATGTCTGGCTGAATCTCATCTAAGCTCAATGTCGTTCAATGTTACAACAACAACAATCAAAACTAAAGTTATTATTACTCCATCCAAGACGAAGTTTAAATCCAACCAAGTTTTTAGTACGAGGAAATGTTGAGTGAAATTTTACATGACGCTGCGATTAATCATTTAAGACCTCGAAACTTCTCCGATGGTCATTCGTTCCACGATTTTTTAGTACTTTTTGTTGTATCTGAAATTATCCACGTATGTATGCTACATATATTTTACTGGATGGGATTGATTTTCGTATACGTACAGAACTTGAGGATGGAATTGAATTTCCAAGAAAAGTGTAAGAAAACTAACTCGTGATTATTATGCTAATGTTATAGAGCCAGAGTTATGGAGCACTTAAGAAGGAATGAGTCATGAAGGGAGTCATAAAATTTGAAGGGGATTTCAAACGCCATTTATTTTCTTTGCAAAAGCGGAAAGTGAAAAGGAAAAGGGGAAAGGGGTAGGATTTTAGTTTTACGACGCAGAGGGAAAGAAATTTCATTTCAGTTTTGTCGGAAAAGTGACTTTCACCCCAAAAATTTTCAATTTCATATTTTACAATTTCTGAGAGATTTGAAAAGTTTTTAGTCATAAAAAGTTGGAATTATGTAGCAGCCTGCAACACCATTTATCATTTTGATAATTATGGGGTAGCATGTTTCCTTAATGTTCATGGCTCTTCTAGAGTGAAGGATTTGTAGGCACTCTCAATCTTGGCAGATTCAATTGCATCACATTTTTTATCCTTTTTCTAGAAAAATATCGCAAAACATCCAATTTGAGCTTGTTGTTGTTGCTGCTACATCAATTATTTTAATAACAAAGTTGTACCATTTTTGTTAACTTGGACTATATAATTTTTGGTTTATTATACTTCATAAAAACTATATAGTTCTACTTCTAGGCAGTTCTAAAAGCATGGCAAAATGTTGTAGGTACATAAAATTTTCATCCACACACGAGTGGACGGAAAGACGAAGTAATGATTGCATTTTTTGAAATTTTCTTTTTGCACACACACAAGTTCTTGTTCTTGATTTCGTCGAATCTAGAACCGGAGGGGGTTTGGAGAAAGAAAGACGGAATAAAGTCCGTGTTTCCAGTTTGGCTGCAATAATGGCGTAGCTTGAGCTGGAGGATGGAGACCAATGAGGTTTTGAGCATGGCGAAGGGGCGTCTTTTCCTCCCTGACAGCTACACTTTCCCAGACATAATTTATCGATTTCTTCTCTCTCTCTCCCTCCTTTTACCCACCACCCTTTTTCCATTATGCACATATTCCACCACTCCACCGACCCTACGGTATAGGCCACCCTTCTTGTTCCATTGTTGCGATATTTTAAGCCTTCGGGTTGGCTGGGTTGTGATTAGTACAAGAAACAAATTCTGAATCCACACCTTTCCCATGTTCACCTCGACGACCCTCCCTTCTTCTTGAACCCTTTGGGAACCTAAAAATAAATTTAGGGTAATGACGACGGAGGTAAAAAAATGGATGCATTTCACAAACACAACACCTGCACAGGTGGAAAGAAGAACAAGTCTTATTATTCACCCATTGTTTGTTTGTCAATGTCGGAAAAATCGCACTGGGTAATGTAACGTAACACCCATTCCATTCAGATTATGTCACCCTGCTAAATAAGTAAAAACATAGTGGGGAGAAAGCATCATGAGAAAGTGAACAAAGTGTGGCAGGCGAGTAGTGGTTGGGCACTCTATGCGGCTGGAGGGCGAGTCATGGTTGCATGAATTGGGCGGAGATGGCACACGAGATCTTTCTCTGCTCGCTCGGCCAGCTCAACTTGGTTCGCATTTCCACATTTTTTCCTACATTTGTATGAATGAAATATCTCAAATTTTCAATTTTAATATGAAATATGTCACAAAATTACGCAGCGGTGGAGGTGCTGCACCTGAAAATAGTGCCAATTTGCCAATTCGATCAACCATGGAGGGGAAGTTGTTCAAGTAAATTGAAAAATTGAGGACACCGTCGCATTTCAATTTGGCGTCAAGGATCGAAAGTATAATTTTTTAATGCATTTCAAATCAGCAACAAAGCAAAACGCCACTCAAGCCTTGAGGTTTCTCATTCGACGAGCGGAACACAAAGGCGATACAGTTATTGCGGAGATGAATTATGCAACCATACGCAAATTTCGATTGGATTAGACATGGCCATGTACATATTTAAATATGTAATCCACAAAGTACGGCAGGAACAGGCGTGAAAGGAAGTACGGAGTGAGGATTATTATTATTATTTATAAATAAATCAATGCAAAAATAAACCTCTGCATGGTTTGTTATATTGGATTTTCATTTTTTTATGGGTACAAATTTAAATAAAATTAACAAGTTTTAATAGGCTTGAGAGTGAAACCAGGTCATGTCGGGTGATGAGGTGTATCATGATGAGGTGAAGTAAATAAGGGTTGTATTGAATTTGTGTATAAATAAATCAAGAGGAGGAAAACGAATAATAATAATATGCGTTATGCAGGAAGATGAAATTAGTTGCGAAATTGTGACTAAAAAGATTAGCTTTCAGCCTCGTTACGTGTTTATACACAACTTTCACTTTTACAAAATTTGGTGAAATGTGGTCCATTAATCGAGCAAGATTGTAAAGTAGAAGGTAAAAAATTGTATCAAAAAACGGCTTCAACTTTAAGAACGCATAGAAAGAACTGTGTAAAAACTATGTCGCATTCGCATGGACAGATGTCACGAACTGGTTGCTCGCTAGTTGACGAGCTTCGATGTCACTTCAACTCGTATTTCTACTTTAGCTGAAACAAGCCTATGTAGATGTGCAGAATGTAAAAATCAGAATTTTAAAATTCGAAGATCGATTTTTCAGAAAAATTTTGAATTATTAAGTCAAAGTTAAACGTTTTCGTTAAAAAGTTTTCATTAGTGGTATGATTTTCCTTTTTGGCATGAAATTTGACTTGTAATCCTCACTTTTCCAAATTGCTCTCTCCTCTCTCTCGGTGGAGGAGAGGTTGGTTGATGTTGGTAATAATTTGATGGAAATGGGCCATTTGTGGTGTAATTTGGTTGTTTGGAAATCAGTTGTCTACTGCTGTAGTGGGGCTGCTGGTGAATAATAAGTTGTCACTTTAAGGGCCCATTCCCTCATTTCATGACCTTTCAAATGTGGCAAAAAATTACCTAATAAAAATAAAACGTACAATATACTGCTCATTCTATGCACGCATACGAACGACCAGAAGAACAAATGAAGTCAATAGAATAGAATACAGATACAAGCACTACTTTACTAACGACACATGTATGCACCCACATGCATACAGATATAGCCACCCACAACTCTAAAGTAACTACTCTGGAGTCATAAAGTCGAAATAATCGGTAGTTTTTATCCCTTTTTAAATGGTTTTGTCACTTTTCGATGCCCTCTCTCATTCCATCCGTGTATTCATAATTTACACTAAATACCCATTTTGGAGAAAGTTGCATGCTACAAAATTTGTAAGATGTGAACGCCGTATAATTGTTTTTGGTGAATTTTCCAAATTACTTATTGTAGTGAATAGATGGGATGTTCTCGGTTTCAAAGAATTTTAACCATTTCATAAAATTTGTACATTTTCCAAATTTTGCACATTTTTCTCCCTCCAAATTTTTGGTTTTACTCTTCAAGATTCCATCTCAGTCTGACTGATTTGCTCTGCGATTCTGACAAATAAAGTTTTCTTCTCGAGCCAAGCAACAACATAACATCATCAACCAAGTTTAGTTTTAGTTGCATGGTTGGTTTCCTAAATAGTAAAGGAACAAGAAGAGTAAAGAAGAAGAAGAGAGTTGCATCTGCCCATGCAGAATATGCCGTCGGATTGGTTTGGTTTGGTTAGAGAAGCCTTGCCTGCCTTTTACTTTGCGTTTACTTTACTTGGTTGGTGTGTGTGTTAGCTTTGGCTGAGCATTTTGTATCAAGTTGTTCTTTGGGAGTCTCAGTCCGAGTTGGCTTCTCAGGCTGCTCACACCATATTATCCAACCCACCAACATTCGTATTCCGACGTATCGTGCTCCACTATTTTACCAGACTTACAAAGTTGCACAACCCAGTTGTCAATCAAACAGTCACCCCGAAACGCTCCTGTCGGTCGGGTCGGGTCCTGCTCCCTGATAACAATTCAATTCGAAACCACATTACGTTATATTCGACACACAAACAAAGCAGAATCACCTTGATTTACGAAAAAAAGTTTCTACTACAAGTTCAAACGATACATAAATCAGATTTGTGACGTTTTAATTATCACTCATTTTAATTACGTCAATTAAAAAAAGTAACCTCTCTGTTAATAAGTTTTTTCTTTACTGATTGACAACAGTCGAGTTTTATGTTTGTTTACATTTTATAAATCCATACAAAAATAAAAAAGGGAGGGTGAGACGAGTCAGATTTGGTGGAAAAAAGGAAGAAAAAATTATACAGACTTCTCCAGAAGTTGGGAAGGAGGCAGACCTAAACAAATTCTTAAATTGATTTAAATGTAGTCATTCTCAACACTTTGTTTGTGGTGAACAGACAAAGTTCCGTTTATAATAAGTGAGCCCAAAAAAGACACCTGAGGCAAAACGTGCTTTTTTCATTAAGAGAAGATCCCACATCGTGTGTATAACAGCATCCTCGTCGTCATCTCATCTCAGCACAGATTCTCCAAAAGAGAAAACGAGCCGGCATCACCACATGAAGCTTTTGATTCTACCATATTTGGAAATTTGAGACGGTTGAGAAAAAATTTTGCTCCAAATTAAACAAGTCTTTACATGCGTAATAATAATGGGAGTCACCCCAAAATGAGATCCAGTCTGATTTCGCTACTGCCAAAATTGTAATCCAGCAAAATAACCTTTTTTTCGGAAGCTTGTGAAATAAAAGGGAGGGAGAAAAAGAGGAAGGGTCTGGTGGGCCCTTTACACACAAACACGTGCTCACTCAGCTACCCTCCCTACGAAGTACGAGTCGGAGTAACTGGACCAGAAACAATTTGTGCAACTTTGCCACATTTCATTTCCACGGAGTCATTACTGGAGTGGTAGGCAGCCAGGCAGGCAGGATAACACAACACAAAAGTAGCCTTGAAACCGTTTGACTTTTTGATATCAAGAAATCTCTGGTTGGCTGGAAGTTGTAGTAGTCGTCGGTTCGTGTCGTGGTTGCTTTTGGTGTTGGATAAAAGTTAACGAAAAATTAATTTTTCCAAGATTTAATCTCTTCACATTGTAAGCTTCAAGCTCGGCAAAGCAAACTCATCCTGACAAACTTTTCACACAGAACTTTCTCAGCGTATGAAGGAGCTGATAAAATATAAAATATTTATTTCTCTCAGACTGACACCATTTCTTAAAAACGGAGCGTATTGATTGTTGTTGTCAATCCATTAGTGCATGTGTCTACTACTGCGTTCCTCGGAGTGAATAACGAAACAGTAGTAAGTCGGCCTGTTCACATAATTGGATGAGAGCCACCAGCGTTGATTTTGAGAGTCTCAAAAAAATTCAATTAAGCCCAATGAAATCCTCTTGTCTCATAAATTTCATGTAGACGAAGAGAAGAAGAATTTTTTCTAGCTTGCCAAACACAACTCAACATTCTGATTATTCAAAATCTCAGTTTTCTTCCAGAACTAGTTTTCTTCTGTGGAGCCGTGGTAAAATAATATCATCACTGTAAAAATAAAATTATCGCAAATTTTGCAAATTATAAGTATGACAAATATCTAAATAAGCCAAAAAAATCACGATCATCACGATGACATCAATCATCATTCTCTTGGACCTGCATAGTTTAGCGTGGTTTGAGTGAGATTCTACAAATATAATTAAAACTACTACAAAGTCTTAATTAATAAATCATAGTGACCGAACTGGATTTAAAAAAAGTCGGACTGAATAAAATTGTCACTAAATAAAAAATGTTGTTCACATGTGTCCGTGAAGGGGTCGGCCCAGTCTCATCCGAAGCGAGTAGTTGTGGACGGATGAACATGATGAACGGGTCAATATACGGGGACGAGAGTGTCGGCGGTGGGGGTGGTGGCGGCGGGTCGGGTTCGAACACATCCTCCACGACACCAATCTCCTCCACGACGTCGCCCTACAATAACAACAACAACAACAACTCGATCGTGAAATGTGAGTCATCCCCGTTGTCGAACGGGTCTCATGGTCATAATGGTCACGGTGGTGGTGGAGGTCCACTCCACATCCCTGCCAAGCGACTGCTAAACTCTTCCTCTTCTGCGTGCGGACCTGCTTCATGCACCCTTACTCCCTATCCGACAGCCCACTCCAACCAAGGTCCACCCGGTACACTAACTAAACTAATGGAAAATCTCTAACCCTTTTTCTCCCATCACGTATTCGTCTTCTTCTCAATTGCGAATAACTTTTTCCCTGCTTTACTTTCTCTCTTACTTACTTTCACTCCCACAAAAACGTGGGTGTGATGATGACGATACTTTACATTCTTTTGCTAGACAAACGCTTTATTTATTTGTAAAATCATGTCCCCAAATTTTATAATTTCTTGTCCAGTCTTGTGATGGGTCTCATATAATTGGAATTGCCTTACAGCCTGGCCCAGCTACCCGGGCTCCCTCCCAGTCGACTCATCCCTCGGAAGTGGTGGATCCGGTTCATCTGCCGGATCTGGGCACCAACCCTCCTCCTTTGACACCCCCTACAGTTCTCCGATGGGGTCGTCAGCCGCCGCCACGGCAGCCGCGGCCGCCTACTATACCGCCTCTGCGGGTGGGGGCGACCGGAAGCATGGTCACCATGGGCTGGCCTTCTGGCCGAATGAGTACAAGTACCCGGGGGATTGTGGCGGGGGTGCGTTCGGTGCTCAGAGCTGGTGTAACCCGTACCCTTACGCGGCCCGTGTCCCTAGTCATATGGACACTCATGGGGCTTATCTCAACCCGGCCTCGATCTCGGCGGTGGCTGCAGCAGCAGAACAGGATCGGAGGGATCAGTCCTCCTTCCATGACACGTATGGCGCACTAAGAAATCCATATGGCGGGGCTGACATTGCGGCGAGTCCTTATCCTCCTCCAGGTAAGAACAGCTTCCATACCATGATTTTTTTTAGTTATCATCACACGTCATCTAAATCACAAAGAATGGGTGAAAGCTTTACTGAAAAAAATCTCTCTCGTCTCGTGGTTAAGTGGGGAAATGATGAATATTGATTTTAGCACTTCAACCGAGGCGACGACGTAGTTGGTAGACTTTGAAAAAGCTCACACTTTCCGTCCCGTTGTTCTAATAATATACTCACATGAGGGAAAATGTGCAACTAAGTAATGCAAAAAAAAATTTGTGTCGTGTATATCGTGTGAACACTCAAGGTGTTCGTACTTTACTTTCTCGTGTGTGTGTTTGTATCTTGTACACACTTTCTCTCTCCGTCAACCAACTTTCTCCGCCACGACAACACTGTGTTTGTCCATATTAGCTAAAACTTTTCTCCGACCAGGCGACCACAAATTATTAAGCCTTTCTCTCTCTCGGCTCATAATGCACAACGCAACTTTGACATGTCGACTCTTTTAATCTGCATGCATGCACAAACCATGGCATACAAATTTCAGAGGAACAATGAGGTCAAACAAATTCTTTTGTGGTTTCGTTTTCGGCTCCGATTTCTCCGTGTGAAATAAATTCGTACGGAATTTTACCAAGCCTCAAAAATGAACTCAAAAATAAATAAATACATTAGCCACTTATTGTTACACTGCACAAAATTAGGTTTCTTCACCCGACCGGGTACTACATACTGGTAAATAATCAGACTGACAAATTCCTAGACTGGGGTCGTACATCATTTAAATTTAACCCGTTTCGCACCCTCTCCTCGTCATCTAATTAGAAGTGAGATCGAGTCGACTTGGCTGAGTCGACACATTATTGAAACTATAGCTATACTTCATTCATACTTCTTCGTCTTACTTCTTACGCCACTGCTTGACGTTGACTTCTAAATGCAATCTAATTTCAAGTAGGAATTTAATGCAAAATGGAATGCAAAGTTCGGCTGAAATGAAATATCTTGAATTTCACGCGTACCATCAAACCAAACCAAACATTCAACTCGCTCAACTTTCCTCCTTGTCATATTCCTCGCTGAAAACCAAATCTAAATTATACACTAGAAGAGAAGACAACCCACTCACTCGTCGTTCGTGAGTCAGAGTGATGTTATGTGACGAGGAGATGTCAACCCTTTACTTTACTTAGGCAGGCGGTTGCCTCACTTTGAATTCTGAATCTCAAGTCAAGGATACGACGACGACGAACAAGAAAGAATCCGGAAATATGATCTCTTCACTCTCGGCTCAATTTGCACAATGTGAAGTTGCCGTCCCAGACCAGACCTTATTAATGAATGAGACAAGACGGCAGAGAAATTATAAACCTGGGCAAAAATATGCTCGTAAATAAAATTGCATCATCATCACCACACCACCACAACCACAAGAAAGAAAGAAAGAAAGACATAATATGCATACGCACATCGCAAGGAAATGCACATTTTCTTATATCCCATTAAAACAAAAGAGATGCACCTCTCCTGCAATTGCAGTTTTGCGCCTGGTTTACGATCTATTTACACCATTTACACCCCAACACTCACTTTTACTCTTTACAACCATGCCACCACCAGTTGACTCGAACCATTCTTAAATAGTTTAATGGTCACTCTCGAGTATGTGTATAGCTCTCGGGTGGTGGATGTAACTCGGGTCAAATGGTAAATAATAGTCAATAGTAAAATTGACATAAAACAAAATGCAGCCACATACATACAACGACGGACGGGCCGATACTACGGAACATAATATCGGTCCTGGCCTGGTGAATGAGAGGTGTACATGATTATATACATAGTGGAGGAGGCCAATACGTTCGTAGTGGTCCGTTCTACTGACCGACACACTTTATTATATCTTTTTTCCACACAACAGCAGTAGCATAATGCCAATAGTGAGAGTGAATAAGTGGAGTGCAGATGGGTTAAAAAGTGAGCCGGGTAGTGTAGTAGTATTGACTGCAGTTTGACTTTAAGATGTCATAAAATTATATTGCCTTCCCTATTTCACGATATCTATCGCAAGTTACTTCTTTACCACCGCACAATTGTATAACTCATGCGGTATGTATGCACATGAGTATTCTGCATCTTTTTACCTATGTGCATGCATATACATATCTTCTGGTTAGGCTTAATTGACAATGTAAACTAAACCTAAAAAGAGGGTCAAGTCTTTAAGCGGAGATGGATGATCATTAGATTATTGTGTCTCCTTGAGACAGAGTTGAATGCCAAAAATAATTGGCAAGTTATGTATCAAATCACGCAGTAAAATATGAAATCAGAGCAAGTTTCTCATTACTTGTGTAGAAGATATGTACAGATCAGCCACAAAACGCATGGTATCACTTCGCCCCGAAAAAATCAGTCCATATCTTTAGCTAGCTTTATTTAGATGGGTATAGCAAATTCACTTTCATCCTAAAAAGGACGCAACCCTCCATTTATTGCACTTTGGCATGATACCTCCAGATACATATTTATAGGCCGACGTAATATGTAGCAGAATTAGAAAAACGGACCCTTCCCAACAACAACAAGAGCACTTCATGACCCATGGCTATGTGTACCCTTGAAGGTTTATTTTTATTTGTACTGCTACAGTCAGTCCTTCTCGCTAAAAATCCTTTACTGTTTTCGGTTTTATTGCACTATTTTAAGAATTCGACTTCTTCGTCTCCTTTTTTAAACCTTTCCATCTTTAACAATCTCTTTATCCGGTCTTATACTTTTTTTTACAATTTATAAAGATTTTACAACCCTTAACTTTCTCGTGTACAGGATGTGCAAGTTATATCGTATAATGATGCAACAAGTTCTAACATTCTTTGCTTTTTTTACAACTTGTGACTTTTTTAAGTGATTTCTCTTCTATTTATTTATCCAAAAAGTGGTGCATCTTTTTCCTCCATCCATAGATAGATATTCACCCTTCTGTTATTTAGTAAAGAAGGAGAGGAGAGAGATTTAGGCCAAATCTAGGCTTTAGAAGATTCAATCCTCTTTTAAAATCTTCAGTCCAGTCAAGCATTAAGAAGTGGAAAGAGTGGAAGAATAAATTTCTGAAAATATATTCCCCGTAAAAATTGTAAAATTCCGTTACAAACAATTTCATCGCGTATGCACAGCAGAAGACAAAGTATCAAAATTATTTATAATTACTTGTTGCCACGATTTTGTTCATACACCGTTTTTCCTGGCCTCTACAGCAATAATCGTAACGATTTGTTAAGTGCGTCATTATTATTGTTATTATTATTTCTCCTTCGCCCAGTGTCAAATAAGTTCAAGTTAAATTGCTCATTTATCCGAGTGCGTATATGTACATAGTTAATGGTTGGTCGTTCGTTTGGTGTTGGCAAACGGGAAGGCAATATCCATTCTAATAATTCTTGTTAACTTTTTAACACAGATCGTCTCCCTGAGCAAGTAAATGTTCATGTTAATGAGTCGTGTTACTACTGAATGGAGGGCCCATTTAACCAGGCTCACTTTACAAATGTGGTAATTCATCATTCCACAAATTAGTTGGAACATTGCACCAGCCACGATTACATATTTTAATGCCTCGATACATTTACAAACCAAATAATTTAATCCCACACGACCAACTAAACTTCTACCACACTGTACAAAAAAGTGAGAAAAACTCGTACATTTCAGCCTTTTCTTTCTCACCGTCTCGAAGATAAAGAAAAGATGATGATGCTCATCGATCTCATGGATAATTTCATTCCTGGTGTGTTCCCATTTCCTGAAATACCAACAAACACAGCTAACCAACCAACCATATGCAACCAATCCTCAATCCATCCATCCATCCGCCTCTGTTAGTTATCCCTTCACTCGATTTTTTACCAAGGAAAAAGGAGAGCATTCATTCATGAACATGAACAAAAAGAAGAAAATGATGACTTGCATCAAAGATTTTTACACAATGTTATGCACCATTTTTAGTGGACACTCCTTCTCTTACATGAAGCAAAATAAAGTAAACTGTGAGCGTGGATTGGAGAAGTAGTAGCAGCAGCAGCCGTTTAATATATAAGAATCTTTTTAACGTAACCCTTTCTTATGTTATGCGGAAAATGGTGTCTCGTCTTGACTTGTGCGTTGACTATGTTTGTGTAACCACCATATCGACTTAATCGTGTCGTGATCTTACGTCAATAATACAATTCCATTGGCTCAAGTAGCAATTTTTCCAGTACGTAAGTTCAGCATCTTTTTGATTAAAATATTACAAAAATTTTGCAATTCGACTCTACAACTTTTTGTCCCAAAAACCGTTACCGCTCGGAGATAAGTTGAAGATTCGAAAGTAATAAGTAATTGATAACCAGCCCAGCAGCACACGCAGCACGTCAATGTCAAGCACGCGAGAAGAATACTTTTTCTTGTATCGGTCGGTGACTGACGAGTTGAATTTATGTTATTGTTTTACTTGATTAGACAAACTAGACAGAGTGGAGGCATATATTTGCAAGTCGGAGTACAATGGGTGTAATAACCATAATAATAAATTACCCATTAAATAAAATTTGCAAGTTGAGCAGTTAAGATTATCTTGACACGTGAAGAGTTTATATAAATGTGTGAATCGTATTTATCGTAACATTTTTGCGTTTATTTACCTCGTGTTTGAATCAAATTTCACTTATTTTGAGAAAATATTTTGTTTATTTATATTCAATAATTCGATCGGTCCATAAATGAAAAAATATAAATTCATTATGAGTCAGTCACCTACCATTTCTTAACATTCTTCACACTTCAGTAGTTAAATATGCAGTGAATAGTTAGCTCAGTTTTAAGGTCTTGATTGACTTCTTGTGTTTCAAATCGAATTTTGAATCGAGTCTGTTTATCAAAATTTCAAAACACCTCTTGATACGGGGTAGGTGTGTACATTGGGTTGCAAGATTTCTAAGAAATGCCGACTTCATAACACACCATCGGCTTT